ATGTTCATTCTACATTTTGAAGATCTTGTGTTTTTATTTCTATAAATTCTCAGGTCATAGCACTCCTAGTATTCTGTGTGTTGATTAAGATCTGTTGCGTCATCGAGGTCACGTGACTGGTGTGGCGCCCTCTAGTTTCTAGAACTATCTTGTTCTTTCAGGAATGCTCTAGTATTTACTAGATAGGGTAGTCGGGTATAAATAAGAGGGGGACAACGTGACGCACGAAGGTAATGTGTGTATAGATAGTGAGTAATTGAACTGCAGTCAGAAGTATTGTTGACGTTCGTTGATTAGCGTTTGTTTTAGCGCGATTGTTGAAGTTAAGTGTATCGGTAAAGTTATATCCGGAAAGAATAAACCAGTTTTATTAAGAAAGAACTTGTGTCGCTTAAGTTTCGTCGGAACGAAGTTACAGAAAATCAATTAACAAACGGAGACGTAACACTCAGAATAGAAAGACTTCATCTAAGATGAACCACATGAATGTACAACCACAAGTGAGTTTAAAATGTAACTAATATGAGTTGATTTCAATTTTTAATACCGAATCATATTGTTTGTAACCCATGTGTATAAGTAGATATTGCAACGATTTGGTAAAAATAATGACAATTCCACATCGCTTAAATGTAAATTAAGAAAGTGATTTATTGTTTCAACTGTGACATACAAATTTACAAGGTATTGTTACGCCTCCGTTCGTTAGTTAATTTTCCGTATAATTTATTTTCGAAGAAACTTTAGCGATACAAGTCCTATCTTAAATAAAACTGGTTTATTCTTTCTGAATACAACTTTGCAATACAGTCCCGGTATAACAAACGCTATAATTCACAACGAACGACTCACGTGCTCGATTCAACAATACTCTATCCGCAGTTCAATTACATATTACATTGATGCCGTCACGTCTTGATCGTCTTATATATACAATACTACCGCATATCTAGTAGGCTCTCGAGCATTCAGGAAGGGACGTGAACAGTAAGATATTATCATGTACAACATTTAATTTATGGTATCTTAAATGTTGTACATGATCATATCTCGCTGTCAGAGACAAAGCGTTGTAGAGAAATATCCCTATTATCCCACAGATAACTGCCTCAAACCTTCATATGTTTATTTTTCGTTTTAACTATTAATATATCGTCCTTGTTAGAGGGGTCATGCTTTGTGTTACATTGTCTTTTTTTTGCTTTTGCGTGTCTCATTTCTTTTTTCATATACTACATAGACTGTTATTAAAACTCATTACATATTTAGAACACATTGTGTTGTATATTGTGTTAATAAAATTGGACTGAATTTCCTGTTCAAACCTGCTGTATGTGTGTATATATATAAAGCATGTTGTATTTATAAAGCCACCTAACTCGCTATATGCATTTTTATGAAGTGAATCAAAATTTCACTATTTCAACGAATTTTCATCTAAGTAAGTAAGTAACTTTTTCAGACAAGCGTGCTGGAAAAAATGACAATCTTTATGACTCTCCTTCTTTCACACAACTCTTCCGTCTGGGGTCCCAATGACACCTTTCTTGTACCAAAAATGATACTAGTGTATACATAGAGCATTAAAACTTTCTATATTACTCTAGCTAGCTAGGTTACATATATATAGATCTCTACTTTTTAATATAAAATTGATTTTTATTATACTTGTTTTATTAAAGTTAAATGACATTTTATGAAAATTGAATTAAATTGCTAATGAAAGGATGTTACGTAAAAGTAATATTAGTAATTCAAAAACAAAGAGTTGCTGATATATTAATTGCAACATTTTTGTTATTATTACAAAATATAATGTTCTCCATGGCTCTAGAAGCAAGAAAATTCTATGTAACCTAGATGGCGCTGTGAAATTCTTTCTTTAATTGTTCGGGAAGTTGTAAAGTATATAGGTGGTGATTGTGGTGAGTTAAAAATCTAATTTAATCGTTATTTTTAACATTATTTCGACATGTTGTTTGTATCACATTGGTTCATATATACTTTTAATGAGTAAGTAGTATTGTATTATTTATGTATTGTCACCTTGTGTATCAAATGTATTATAATTTTGCCACGTTGAATTTTTACTCAACCACTGATTATAGGCGTAGTTCAGACTCCAAAATTTTGACGTCTTAATCGTATTGTTAACGTTACTTTTACGTTCAGCTAATGGATTAATAATTTTCACATAAGATTTGGATAGTTGGAATAATTGGAAATATTATTTTGATTATTTTATTTGTCATGCTAATCCAACCACGTAGTCGTAGATAATCGAGTTAATTGTCCGTTTCTGAACAAAAGAAAGTCTTCTAAGTGATATGAGATGCATAGCAATTTCATAAGTGTCTTGAATAGTCACTATTATTATTAATATTATACTTTATAGTGTTGAATTATATAGTTATACTAGAAATAGAAAGAGCTGAAAATATATGTAAGATTTAATTAGCATTTACTGATGATTTAGTGAGTTTAATTCGTGGTTCAACAAAGTAAATTTGCAAGTAAGTGGTTATTTAGCTTCCTTTTTGAGTAAGGCCTATCGAAGAATGCCATTTGTATTAATTGTAGTTTATAGCAAATACTTCTGTTTTCATCAAATGTACTGGCATTTGCATTATGTTTATTGAATAACAAAAAGGAACCTGCCCAATGATATAAATTCTTAGAACAACATAAATAGGTAAAATATTTGTACAATTAGGTATCCAGTATATATATATATATACAGTAAAATCAAAACAACTACAAAACAGTCTGGCATTGTGAACACCTTGCCCTTTATCAAGATACCTACTAAAAGGTGGCTGCAAAGTTCTTAATAGCAGTCTGAATCATTTAACCCTAAAACAGCTATTTTGTCTTGTATCAACAAACCTTTGCTTTAAAAAATAACTATTCTAATCCTAGTGAAAAATAATCACATAGATTAGAAAGTTTTATAAATACAAAAATTAACATTGTAATTGCATGTAAATCACTAATATTGGGAATAATTGCTGATATCACATGGTATTGGCCCTGTTTGTGATTCATTCTAACCTTTACATAGCACAAGCTGTAAGTGCAATGCAGTTAAATTTTTATTATGAAGAACATGCATCCAAGATCTGAGAATTTTTTTATAGCATTGCAAGTTGTTTTTTAAGTCATGTTCTGAGAATAATCTATTTCATATTTTATCTATCTAGTGAAAATAATTGATTAGTTGAACGTAATCCATTAATGAATGCAATGATTAATTGATTATCAAATTCCACTAATTGTCTTGCTTTAATCATCATTCATTACAACATCTCAAGAAGTACTTGAGACATCCTGTGCTCCTCACAACAAATCAACTTTCTATAGTCAATAATACAAAATGTTAAATTAAAATATTAAATGTAGCTTGCAACAATATGTTTTCATTATGTGAAAAATACCAATATTAAATAGTTAGGTTGGTTAATCTGTCATAGATATTGTGGGCATCACATTTTGTAGTAGATTGTATCATTTTTTGTAATACTGTGGCAAAATATATACACACACACATACTTACAATGTGTAATAATTTATTTGTAATGAGAATAAAAATATTGTGTAGAATTTCATTTGGAGCTAATGTTTCTCAAGCCTACTAGTCTAGGCCTAGTATGTTAAAAAAATTGCTTTGTGTGTTAATCTAATGTTACTCGTGTTTATTATTAATCATTATGAAACTGCATCTACAAATGTATCTGACACTGTTACTGTTCTACTGTGAATCTAATGTTAAAATAGTTACCGTTAAAATACTGCTGGAACAAAGCCATTACTTTGTTTAACTTTGAACTACTGAGATAACAAAAGACTCAATGTATTCAGAAAAGAAACAACTGTTCCATAATAGTCCATAGTGTTAGAGCCTAATCATACTTATGTACATATGGCACCCGTGTCCACATCACTGGGTTAAAAATAGCCCTCTGATGTACCTGAGAAAAAGGTGCAAAAGGAATTGCTTCGGATAATTATCTGTTACTGTAATTTTTGTTTTTTAACATTATTGTCCAAGCAAACATTATAGAGCTGTATATAGTTTTTCTTGCCTGATTTAGATTAATCAAATTTGGGTGAAATTGTCATATGCTGCTCTAGTTTCCATACTAACTTTACTTGCATTGACATTTCAGGTGAAGCCACTGAAGATTAGAAAATGGCAAAGACAAAGAACCATACCAATCACAATCAGAGTAAGTTTACAGTTATAAGTTAGTTTGCATCAAAATAGTTTGTTTTAAAAAACATTACATTTCTATAATCAGTAATTTCCAATTACAAAAAGGGATGAAAAAACTGCACATAATAAAATAAAATGTTAACATTAGATAACAGATTTGAAGTGTGAATTTATTAATTGCAGTTATAAGTTATTATAGTAAAAAAATGAATGCTTGAAATAGCTATCAGTTATTCAAAAACAAGACATTTGATATTCTGTGAAAGGAAACTTAAAATGTTTTAGGCTTGCAAACTTTATGTGATTGTATTTAACCAAAACTTTTTTGAAGTTTATTAGGTAAACATAACTATATATTGGTATTCTCTCGTAAATAACCTTCTGTGATGTAAACCACATTAAATAATACGCTCTTCATTTCTGCATGGTCTTTCTAACTCTTTCCACTTTCTTGTGCTGTCATTAAAGCCAAATCATGTACTCTTGAGAAGTACTATATTGTAAGTTATTATTGTTGTTTTCAGAGAAGTGTCATATTTATTTTATGTCTACATTTACGTAGTTTACACCTTTTTCCAAAACATGGGAAGCACTGGTGTCCACATCATTGGGTGAAAGATACTCTCTGGTGTACCTGTTCAAAGGTGCAAAATAAAATTGCTTTAGATAATCTATATATATGATACTTCCTTTTCAGTAACAATCTTGATTGTCAAAGCAAACATCTAAAATCACTTTATTTGAGGTGCAATTTTGATATTTGATACAAATAAATTTGTTGATATTTTGGTAATTGAATGAAAACATTTTTATTGGTTCTCAAGTTTGTAAACTCAACAGTTAAGTGTTAGGAATAATTTAAAGAATGTTGTACAGTTGATCAAAGTATTTGTTATTCTGGCCATATCTGTCAGTTACTTGTGGTTTCAAAGACTACCTGACAACTTTAAAGATGGAGATGTTAAATATAAGTGTAAATTTATGTACAGTTAGTTTGGTGCTACTATAGCATTCAGTCTACAAAGATATTTACACTATAGCATGCAGTCTACACAGATACTATCATCGTCATCATTTTAGTTTTCGGTTATTTGAAACTGGTGCCATTTATTATAAATAATGCTTTTGAACTAATAAAGTACAAAATACCATTACATAACGTTTTGTTGGCAAATATAATTGGAATGAAATAAATTCCAACAATCAAAACTAACAGAATTATAACCTAAAATTAAGGTGCTGTTTTGGAACATACAACTTATTAAATTATTATTATTTGCTGAACAAAAACGTGAATAGATAAAATTATTTAGCAAGAAATTATGTTTTAGTGAATCATTAAAATGGTGATGGTGACAGTATCTGGGTAGGCAGTACACTATAGTGTAAATATCTTTGTAGACTGCACGCCAAGGTAGCACCATTAGTTTTTAGTAAGCGGAAGAAATAGTTTGTTCATATTACATGTATCTTTTAGACCGTAAGGATCACCGCAATGGTATTTACAAGGCCAAACGAGAGAGGAAGCCTTCCATGAAAGGAGTATGTATTTAAATTTTTCAACAATATATTGATCTTTTTCTCTTCTCACCTTTTTATGTTTGACTTGAAAATGATTTGTAAGAAAGAAAGAATAATACCATCAAATAATATGTAAATTGTTGATAAGAATCCTTATAAAGAATCAAACTGTTAGTGGGAAAGATCAAAGTTGTGTGAATAGGCTGCTGAAGATATTGCCTCCATATATATTAAAAAGTCTAATAATGTTTAGTCATGGCACCAGTGTCCACATCAGTGGGTATAAAAGAGCCCTCTGGTGTACCTTTGAAATGGTGCTAAAGAAACTGCTGCATATGATTGTTACTGTGTAGTTTCCTTGTATGTAACATCCTGTGTGTGTAAGCAAACAACTTCTGTACTTTAAACTTTAGAACTGGTACATTTATTTAGGCTTTTGGTTCAGTCAGATGTTAAAAAGAGTATATGTACTTTAAAGCCTATTGTTTAGTGTCAAACCTACAAATTGCTAATCAATTATTTAAGTAGATGTTTTCTCAGTGAAAATTGTGGAATAGTTATTCAATCAGTTAGTAGTTTCTTACTAATTTATGTTTTACTGTGAATTTTAATTATAAAGCATTTTTGTTCTTTAGGTTGATCCCAAGTTTTTGAGGAATTTGCGATTTGCTCGTAAACATAACAAGAAGCCTCACAAACAGCAGCCAAAAAGTACATAAATGATTGTAACTTTCAAGATCAGAATTCTGTACAAATAAAATCTCCATTGTAAATGGTGTTCCTTGTCCTGAAAAGTTGTCTTTTAAGTCATGTATTAAAAATGTTTACATTTAGTCTTTAAACATTTGTAATGTTTGTAACATAAGGTACAAAACAAATTCACAATTTAAGTGAGCTAAAGTTTGTGTAATAGATGGCAGTATCCAATTAGCTTAATGATGTAATTGATACCTAAAAGTATAAACATTGAAGAAGAAATACTATAAATAAGAATTAAGAGTACCAGTGTAACAACATTTGAAGTTTCAAATAGTAATGTCATTACGGTATGAAAGAAGTAATAAAATCAATGTTTTCTTTATATTACTGGGTGTATAAATAACAGTGCATGAACAGCATTGTGATACAAAAAATTCACATGATTTTTCTGACAAATATATTAAGGTTCTTAAATTTTTTCACATTTTTCATCTGTTTATTGTATCTATATAATTCAGAAACTGAATAGAAATTAGTTGTTTTTTTTCCCTCTGATGAGATAAGGTATAGGTAGATGAGAGTATCTCTGCTCTACCTGGCAGTTATAATACAGCTTCATTGTGATAGTGGGTACAATATTACTATGTCATGAATAGGAAATAACATGCTTTACCAACTCGTGCCATGGAGAGTATCTCCTAGGATCGAATTAGCATGTGATGTAATTCAGATTTATAAAATATGACTAGAGAAAATTGGAGATTTAATTTGTTATAATTGACATGTACGTTTATCATGGAAGAGTGATGTGTTATCTGCATGTTACAACTATACATGGACATTTCTGCAATAAAAATTGATCAAATAGCACCGAAATTATTCTATAGACTTACAAACAAAGAATTATGACAGATAAGTTACATATAATAAACTAAGTTACTTAAAGCATTAAAAAAGGGTGAGTGGGAATTTTTGCACTGCAGAAAATATTCAATTAGCTTGTGTTTATATAAATGATTTGTAAAATTTTACTAAAAAAGTAGATAACATGAGATTATATGTTTATATTTGAGGTAATCTGAAAATATTCATAACTGTTTGGACTATTTCTATAAACTTATGTTTAATGTGTAATTCGTGTGTTAGTGAAGTTCAACTGTTTCAGTAATATAAGCCTTTCTAAAAGAACATGGACAGCTGAAATTATTCAAAAGATAATAGATTAGTGAATTATTAGTGTTATGAAATATTATTAGTCATTTAACTTGGGTGTAATTAATTTGCTTATTAATAATTAAATTGATTCAAATTGTAACTTACATTATATAAACAATTACTTGTATGTTTTTCGTGGAAGGTGGGCTGAAAGCAGTCAATTGATTAACATGCCAAACTTTGTGGCTGCTGACGTTTGTGACACTTTTTTTACACATACACAATCATTAATAATGTAAATGAGGGGGTAATGCAAACAGAGAAACAGTGGAGGATACATTTCATTGAACATATTATTTAGGAATCCAATGCCTGACTGAACACTCAGTTTTAAGAGAACCAGTGAATCATTTGTATATGGTAATTCTTAGGGCAAATTCATTTATTAGCAAAGCTCAATTTAACAATGCAGAAACATCTAAGAAGAATAGAAACAAAGAAACTGATACTTATTATCAAACACGTGATATAAGATGAACTAACGTTATGTATGTCCAAAAAGAGTTAGATGAAAAATAATTATCCATGTAATATAATCAAAATGTTATTCAGTGTTTGTGGGTTGTTTGATGTCAGCCATCAGGAGCAGTTATTTTGCATTTGCCATTTTGTCAACATTAAAGGCACAAACTTTAGAGTTGATGAGTCTTTCACAAAATTTCTTGATCAACAAACTATGGTATATACCTGCAGCATATGAGCAACTCAGTTCTGCTGGGTTGATCCATATCTCATCTGTCTTCATCTAAACAAGGGTTTAAGTTACATTGTTCACATGATATTCAAAATGCATGGAACTCATTGGAAAGATTAAATTCCACGTCAGTGATGAGTCTTGACAACTAGGCACCCCAGAAAACAAGGAAGGAAGATCTAGACTTTGAATTTGAAATTACTGTGTCATCTGATTTCAACTCTGATGACAAAAAGCGTGAAACTGGCAGTATATACGTGGCTGCATGAGGAGGAAACGCCAGTGGAGAATCGGACTATCTTTAATCAGTGGCTGTACTGCATATATTGACTTCCTAGTTGATGCAACTGAGACTGACTGTTAGGGTTGTCAGTAAATTGAAAAAGGAAATGACATTTCTTGCTTTCTGAACTATCAGGTGGTGGTTTCTGATAATGTGGTATTTGAAAAGAACTATACATTTTCTTGTATCTTAGATCAGAAAGGTGATTTTTGTGCCAAAGTGTAAAAAAAAAATCAAAGTTGCACACGCTCGGTTCAGCGTCAAGTATTTACCAGCTATGGAAGGTGGTGACATTATTCTTTAGTTGGCCAAACATTATCAAAGGTCATTCTCACTGGAGAATCAATTACTAATGTATTCTCTAGTAAGTTTGGAATACTTGGAGGCTACGTCCTATATTTCTACTTATAGGATGACCAAGTGTTGTGGGTGACAAATACACTCTTGGAGAGTTGACCCTTTTTATCAAATGAAGAAGCGATTTGCTCTCCAAGTCTACAACAGTGTGTTATATTACTTAAGACTTCCCATTTCTCACCAGTACCAAGAGAGGTGTTGTCCAGACCTTTTAACACATTTTTCTGCCTTTAAATATGTGTAATTTTACTTCTTGTATACAAATAAAGCATTGATTATTCACATTGTTTCATATCCTGTCCATTGTCTTTTTCTTCAGCCCAGTCAGGTAAGAAATTCAGTTTAACTCTATGATACTTATTGTGCCAAATCTGTTTTAGTACAGTTATTATTCTTATTTTAAGGTTTTCAGTGTACCTGAAAATACCGCAGAAGGATGTTTTCAGGATGAGGTGTGATAACTGCTTGATTATTGTGTTGTAAAAAACGGGTTTTTGGTTGGTAGATCATCGTGAAAAAGGACATCGTAACTCTTACTTTTTTTTAAGCATTTAGGTCTGGCGCATAAGTCTACACAACCTGGTGTTGTGTCACCATGTGAGATTATAACTGATTGCTTGGTAGAACTGTACCAGTCTTTTTAAAGTGCATTAAGGGAGTTGTGCTCTAATATAGCGTGAAAATGTAACATAGTGTGTAAGTCATGTTAAATAGTGTCGTTTTTACTAAATATTTTCGTGTATATCTAATGTAATTTTTTTATAAACCTAAATATCGGGAATATGAGGATTCGGGTTGATTGTAGTTTGGATTTTGCTGGCATCCTTTGTGTGCCTGTCACATTGGACTATGTATATACGTGTGTATTTTCGTAGTTGATGAAATATATGGATTGAAGACTATGTCGTGATATCATTAGAGGTCGATAGTGCCTAAATTACTTACACGTATTTTTTATCGTGCACAGAGAGCAGGACTGGTGCTATGATTGTTTGTTATGGTTATGTGATATTGAGAAAGGTAGCAAGTCCCCTGAGATACAGGGTCCAGTATGTGTATATTTCATTATGTACTAGCTGGAGTACCCGTCCACTGGACGAACGTTCTGTAACTTTGTGAGTAATGAAATGTTGTCTTAGGACATGAAAAGTTGCTTCCTCACATGTAATTTTAAAAACCGCAAAATGCAAAAGTGAAAATTTGTATGCATCTCCCCATGGATCCAGTGAATTTCCACACCAAATTTGGTGAAGATCCATCCACAGGAGGCTAGGTAGTTTGTTTTGTTTGTAATTAAGCACAAAGCTACACAATGGGCTATCTGTGCTCTGCCCACCATGGGTATCGAAACCAGGATTCTAGCATTGTAAGTCCGCAGACATACCGCTGTACCACTGGGAAGGGCTAGGTAGTGGAAACAAATCAAAAACACCAATTAAAACCACAAAATGCAAAACTGAAAATTTGTATGTAACTCCCCATGGAGCCAATGAACCTCCACACCAAGTTTAGTGAAGATCCATCTACAGAGGCGAAGTAGTGGTAAAGAACGCCCATAAAAACTCCGGCTTGGGCCTAATGAGCCTCCATACCAATTTTGGTGAAGATATATCCGCACCCTGCGAAGTAGTTGCATGGACAGACAACAGACAGTATTTATATAGATACGAGTTTAATACAAACATGGCCATACTTTTTTTAGCAAATAAGAAATTTGGTTTGGTAAAGACAGCAGTGTTAACATAAACCACACTGAGAGCGAAATTTGATGTATTTTAGTTTAGATCTATACAGCATCAAGTGAGAAACATGGTGGACCACTTGTTTTAATTTGTGTTCATAATGTAAATGTTTTGTAACTGAAGCAGCTGGGATATCCGTAGATTATGTGATTTTAAGATTGCTGGTTAATTTAAAATGAAAGAAAACAGTGTGCTAATTATTTTCGAGTAGTTTTGTTTTAGAAATATGATTAGAACAATTGAATTATTTACAAACTTTGCATATATTACTCTCTTTTCTTTTTCTTGTTTTTCTCACGTATTATGAATTTCTTCTTTGTTTAATTATTAACGTGAATATTTCTAGTATTTTCACACTTACCAACTTATAATTTTGTAACATAATCAGTATAGTTTCACTAAAGAAAAATTTTGCCTTACTAATCTTTTGACATTTTTTGAAGAGGTTGTTGATTATGTAGATAAGGGTATGTTGTGTATTTGGTGTACCTGGATTCTTACAAAGCGTTTGACAAGGCGCCACATAAAAGGCGTTGTTGCGTCAGCGAGTCACGTGACTACTATGACGCAACGTTTCTAGAACTATCATGTACTTTGTCGAATGTTCAAGTTCTTACTAGAAATAGGGTACGCTGGTATATAAAAGAGGGGAAGGTAATGTGTGTATAGTCAATGTGTAATTGAACTGCAGTCAGACATAGACGTATTGTTGTAGTTAACGTTCGTTCGTTATTATAGTTTGTTATAAAGCGACTGTTGAGAATAAGTGTATCGGT